TTATGTTTTTAAACCATTTTACCTTCCTATCTTTATGTATATGTGTGATAAAAATGCCCTAATTTTAAAAACCCTTCCTCATCTGACACAACTTCCTAACACCTCAGTGACAGCTTCTGAACAACACAGTTACAACTTCCTAACAACACAGTTGTTCCTTATATATCAGTAACAACTTCCTAACACCTCAGTAACAACTTCCTTATATATCAGTAACAACTTCCTAACACCGCAGTAACAACTTCCTTATATATCAGTAACAACTTCCTAACACCTCAGTAACAACTTCCTTATATATCAATAACAACTTCCTAACACCTCAGTCACAACTTCCTTATATATCAGTAACAACTTCCTAACCACTCAGTAACAACTTCCTAACACCCTCAGTAACAACTTCCTAACCACTCAGTAACAACTTCCTAACCACTCAGTAACAACTTCCTAACACCTCAGTAACAACTTCCTTATATATCAGTAACAACTTCCTAACCACTCAGTAACAACTTCCTAACACCCTCAGTAACAACTTCCTAACCACTCAGTAACAACTTCCTAACACCCCAGTAACAACTTCCTAACCACTCAGTAACAACTTCCTAACACCTCAGTAACAACTTCCTAACACAGCTTTATCACTATATTTAGGAAAAAATTTTGTTTTGTAACCCTCAGTGGAATTTGATGTTAAAATTATGCAAAAAAAAAATCCTGAATTTGAATAAAATCGTTGTACATTAAAAAAAGTCTATCAGAAAAGCTGGTCATGTTCCCAAAAAAGGTACAATAAATCCGAGAGTAATTTTATATATGATATTATGTTTTATTTCATTCTTTCCAGTATTTTACTGTAATATATCAGATGATTATATTCTGATAAACCACTAGTGAAATTTATACAATATAATTTTCACTGTAGCTGCACTTTATCTGAATGTGCATGAAAAGAATATCAAAACTAAAAGGAATAACAGGCAAAAGCAAATGCTGTCATACGTAAATTTTGCTTGTTTAGAAAAAGCAAGTCCATATCATCATACATCACGTTAAAAATGTAACAAAATAAGAGAAATTTAACAGAACTATATTACAAAGTTGATGATTTGATATCAGATGTGATGACGTCATATTAAAGGAGAATGCGCAATGTTACGTGGCAAAATCAGTAAAAATACTTAAAATCACTTAAAAAGCATGAAATAAACAGACAATTTGTTTGTTTTACTGTCCGGTTCATGATATTGACTGTGAATCGGGCAACCCAGGTTCGATTCCCGAACAGTACATGTCTTTTTCGTTGTGACTGATCATGAAATCTTTTCTACGATCATTTGTACTGTACCTCTGCTCTGTGGTATGTACAGAAGTTTCAGTTCCTAGCAGAAGTGAAGGCAAGTAGGACTGGTAAACTGCTTGGCAGTCCGCCCAGGAATGAGGTGGTGGCTGAACTGTGCTCTGTGGCTTTCTGCCATGATCCGGAGTGAAAACTACCAACACCAACACCACCAAGTGAATTTTTTTATTATTACAGGGTTTATATTAACTTTGATTGACATCTTGACATCCACAAATTTGATAATAGACTCTTCCAAAAAAGGAAAGCAGGTTAAGTCCATTTAAGAAATTTAGTAAGAACAGGGTTCACACCTCATCCGAGAATGCTGCCTACCCAAATGTATCAAATGTATCAAATTTCCTGCCAACCGTCCCAACTTCCCCACCCCCCCACCACCGCCCACCCCCCCACCCCAACAGACAGGAAATGAAATCAGACAAAACAGTCAATGTCTTGTATTATATAAAGATTCAGGGATATTAATTTCCCTTGTTTCCAAAATGATCTCAAATATATCAGGAAGCTTTACTAAAAAATTCAGACTTACACAGAATAAATCCCAAAGGGAGACATAAAAAAATACTTCCTGACACTATAATATAATATTAGGAGACACAAACCAGATTATGATCTATAAAACCAAAGTTCACGTTCCCGGAACATAATCTGTACAAGTACAAGAAATGTCACATCCATTGGTATCCTGTCACAGCAATATTAAAGGAGCTCAACTGAGAAAAAAAACTTTAAAAACAAATTTAAAATTTGAAAAAAAATTCATAGATTCAATGAATCAACTTAAATGGGATAAGGGAATAATTTAAAAACTTGCAAATTAATTTTTAGTCGAGACCTTTATAAATTGGTACACAAATCTTCAAAAAAATATTTCCACTCCCAGTCATGTCAAAAAACATCAGAGGAGACCCTTTAACCTTAGCACAATATCATTTCCTCTTAGATATATAGGTTATAACTTTGATACAGAAAAATCATGACCTATCCTCATAAACATTTTTTTCAAGGAAAAATCTTATCCCTAGACAATTTGATAATTGGAATAGGACAAAAAATGGCACTTAAAATTTGCATAAGAACGAGAAATAATGTTCTTTCTATGTCAGTTTATCACTTCCTGTTCTGGATTATGATTGATGGAAACTAATTTATCATCTGTTCTCTATTTCTGCCTATAATTTGCCTCAAGATAATCAACTTTGAGATAAAATTGACTAAAATAATGAAGATTAGATTCTAACACTTGGTGACGATAGTCACCCCCGCCCCCCCCCCCCCCCCCCCCCCAGCACCCCTCTCCACCATCCTTCCAACAAATTCAACCAAAAAACAAAAAAGTCAGGTTGTCACAGCCCCATAATAAAAACATAGTAAAACTGGTGATGATAGTCAAACATGGTAAAACTGGTGGTGGTAAAAGAGGCAGATATAGTCTATCTTAGTCTAAGGGAGACTATTAATATCAATTAATTTAAGTTGACAGATTTGCTTCCCTTCCTTAAATGCATTTTTAGTTGATCATGTAGTTTTTGAAGAAAACAAATGCAAGGCACAATCTGTCCAGAATATATAGTTATGCTATTGGCTTATTAGTACTAAAGATAGAAATTCAGCTTCCAAAATCAAATAACAAGTGACAGAAAACTGTCACAAAGCCAGGTTATTTGCCAAAATTACAAATGTGAAAAAAGTAAACAACAAAAAAATAAGCCAAAAATGATCAAATTGGAAACTAAGACACTAGGTGACAAAATAGTTCTGACCAAGCTTGGTTGAAATCCCTTGACAAATGTAAGAGTTGCACATTGCCAGTAAATATTGCTGCTCAAATTATTGTCTTCTTAAAATGACATTGTTATGCTCAAAATGTCAGTTTTATGCTCAAAATGTCAGTTTTATGCTCAAAGTGTTGTCTGCTCAAAATGTCAGTTGTATGCTAAAAATAATGGTCCTCTTCTCAAAAAATTGGTCGTCTGCTCAAAATGGTGGTTATCTGATCAAAATGATGGAAATTTGGTGATCAAAATGGTGGAAATTGTCTGATCAAAATGGTGGAAATTGTCTGATCAAAACGGTGATTTAGTCTGCTCAATATCACATCTGCTCAATATCACATTCACTATCACATCTGATAAAAATGTTAGTTATTTTTAACCAATTTTCCCAAAATAAAAAAAAAGTTAAGGGTGACAGTCAAACGGCTTTGTAAATGTGCTTAAAATCTATGATATGGTTTAATGCTGCTTTGTGATACCACTAGGTAGTGTATAGATTAATATAAAACAAAAGATTAGCAGGAAATAACAGATTATGCAAATCTCTTGGATTAGGAATTTATTAACACCTAGTTACTACATGTGTAAAGATAATACCAAATTTACAGGCAGATTATTATATATGGTATTGTTTGGTTACTATGCTTAGTTTCAACGCCAAAATTTTAAAACATAAGACCAAGGTCAGCCAGCACATCTGGGCTGATTGATAATGTTCTACCTTGTGCACTTGTCATTCAGCTATGGTGGCTGATTTGGAACACTTTTGTGCGTCATGATATCACTAGCTACAGCACGACAAAGCGACACACGTCACATTGTCAAACTTTTGTCTTGTCGTCCTGTTGCTAATAATGCATGTCAAACGTCGTGTTGTTGCTATGTCACATTGTCGCTTGGCTCGAATTGGAGGGAAATTATTTGTATATATATAATAATAAGCCAAGCGATAGGGCGACAACGCGCCACACGGCAACGCAACAGGCAAAGTGTACCAAATCAGCCACCATAGTCTAATTTTTTTAATTTTCCTTAATCATGATGACAGGTTTAGTCCGGACATGTCCATTTGAAGTATGCTCATCTTTGAGAAAGATATTTTTATCTAAGAAAGTTATTGAAATGTATGAATAATTACTGATAATATCTAATCTGAATATAATCAATGTACAAACTATGTATGGGAAGCTGTATTTCCTAATATTACAGGTCCTTTTTAAAAAAAAAAAAATGCAAGTTTTTGAATGACATTTATTTATATTCATATTGTGTCCATCTATTCTATAGTGTGAAAAATTCGAAATATAACATATATACTTTGTGTAAAGTCAAAACATGTTTATTTTATATTAATAAAGATACTGTGTGGCAATTATCAATATTTTCAATTATCAAATATGAGCATAGTATATCTTTAAGAGTGAGTTAAGGGGTCTAATGTGTCAGGATTTGAACCTATCATTGTGAGGGAGAAGTGATTCACAGTTTGCGACATTAAAGGAACTCCACTGAGATAAATAATCCTAAAACAAAAACTTTGAATGTCTTGCAAAGATCAACTTATTTTTAAAAATGGAAACATATTTTGTGTATAATTTTTAGCCTGTTTTACGTTAAAAGCGTTTTCATTTTTATGTCATTTAATACACATTACAATGATTATTCTGGAAAAACACAATGAGTGAAGGATCTGAAATTTAGCACACATGTTAATAGTCCAGACCTTCATGAAATTGTACATAAATCTTGAAAAAAAAGAAATTTTCAGTTCTGTTTTTTTTTTAAAAAAAACCTCAGCGGAGTCCCTTTAACTCTCCAACATAGAGGTTGATATAAACAGTTGATAAGGTTGTAAAGCAAGTTGTACGTACATGATAACAAATTGATTTTGATGCTCCAGATCGAGGGAGATGGCGGCACCTTCCATGCCGATCTGATCCGACGGCCCGTGTTGTTTGTGTACATCATCCTCACTGCGGTAGAGGAGAAGTTGGCACTTACTCTCCTCAAGTATACACCAATATTTCCTCCGTGTGATCAGTCTACCAAATGCTGAAACATATGGTTATACACATGAACAGTTACATGTAACGGCATATTATTTTGTTTGTTTGTTTCATTTTACGCCTTTTTCCAACAGTATTTCAGTCATATAGGCGGGTAGTTTCCTAAACATCATTCCTGGAGAGTTACACCAGTACTAGACTACCTTCCTCCGCTCTAAACTACCAAAGCATCTCCCGTGGATCAAACCCACGCCAGAGAGGTAACTGGATTAGAAGTCATTGACTCTCACCCCTCAACCATGGAGGCGGTCGGCATATTATTTAAATAATATGTTAAGTTACACAAAAAAGATGAAATTAGCATAATTACTCAAACCTATTAAATGTTACAAAAATGGCATATTCATGGTATCCCTTCATAAAACATATAATAAACACACCCAGTGCTATATATAGATCTAATGGACTCCTATCATTAAACGTATAATGAGCGCTCCCGGTGCTATAGATCTAATGGTGTCCAATCATTGAATGCACCCAATATGTTTGAAATTCTACACACTATAATTGGCCACAATATGAATATATTATTGAGTGTCATTAAAAAAAACTGGCAGTTTTCTTAAAAAAATACCAACTTTATTTCATCTGTATTAGGGACCGCAGCTTCATAGTTTATTTCATTTGAGTCTTCAACACATCAATTAAATGACTGTTAAAGTTTGACACAAAGAAGTTTTACTGTATGTAGCATGAAAAATAAGCATCAAATAATTTTGCCAAGTTTTTCTAGAATTCATAGGAATGTCCAGTAGGCAAATACAACATACTTATGTACAAATACATGTACATTCAGTGAAGATGAGGCAGTGAATAAGTTTGTAACAAAATATGTTCTTTTTCTTATCAGAAGTGGATTAAGGCGGGCCATTTTTAATTTTCATATATAAACAAGTAGTTATCCGCGATGGTCAAAATATTTACCCCAGCCCCCCCATCCCACCCCGCTTCCAGCCACAATCCAACTAATCCAGCTAAACATCTCTTTATGTCAATAATAATATATCATACCATTGGATCCTGACTTGTACTGTAAATATCCTGAGAGACTGTGCCAGCCAGCCATGATTTTACAGTCCTTTATTCTAAATATATATCTTCCATTATGTCTTCATCTGAAGTGAAAAGAAAAAATAACAATAAAATATTTAACAAAAACATATTTGTTATAATCACAAGAACTCTGAAATGGATACAGATCGCTCACCTATTGTAAAAAGAATGATCAATGTCAAACTACATGCCAATTTTATATAGGTTCTTATATCTTCATTTCTGATAATATCTTATTAAAAAACTCAGTGACAATAGTACAGTCATCTGGCAACACTACAACAATAGTACAGTCATCTGGCAACACTACAACAATAGTACAGTCATGTGGCAACACTACAACAATAGTACAGTCATCTGGCAACACTACAACAATAGTACAGTCATCTGGCAACACACTGACAATAAAACAATCATCTGACAACACTACAATATTTCCATCATGTAAGGGAAATCTCCCCCTCTGTTATAAGTTTAGCAACTGCAATTTATACTTCAGCATATAAACCATATCATAGTATATGCATCCTATCTTCATATTTGAATTATAGCTTAGCATATTCATCATATCTTCATATTTGAATTATAGCTTAGCATATTCATCCTATCTTCATATTTGAATTATAGCTTAGCATATTCATCCTATCTTCATATTTGAATTATAGCTTAGCATATTCATCCTATCTTCATATTTGAATTATAGCTTAGCATATTCATCCTATCTTCATATTTGAATTATAGCTTAGCATATTCATCCTATCTTCATATTTGAATTATAGCTTAGCATATTCATCCTATCTTCATATTTGAATTATAGCTTAGCATAAGAATTTAAGCTTAGCATAAGTATTTTAGCTTAGCATAATTATGCATGATATCTTGCTATATTAATTATAGCTTAGTATTTTATAATAGCTAAGTATTTGAAATATAGCTTAGTATATGAATTATAGCTTAGCATATCAATTATAGCTCAGCATATCAATTTTAGCTTAGCATTATTTGCATATGCATGATATCTTGCTATATGATTTATAGCTTAGTATTTAATAATAGCTTAGTATTTGAAATATACCTTAGTATATGAATTATAGCTAATAGCATATCAATTATAGCTTAGCATTTATGCATCTTATCTTAGTTTGAAATATAGCTTAGTATATGAAGTATAGCTTGGAATATGATTATAGCTTAGCATATGAGTTATGGCTTAGAATATGAATTATACCAAAGCATAACTTAAATTATGTATCATTCGAGCAATTTTTCCCTTGAATTGTTGATGGGTCCATAAAAAATGTGAACAAAAAAATTAATTAACATGTTGTATTTCCTAAAATTATGGTAAATTTTTTCTTTAAATTAAGAATTTATAAACAAAGTTTCTAAACTCAAAATATTTTCATATTCTAGCTGATCCTTTTCTGCTCCTTTAGGGAAAGTAGGGAAATATAGTTAAATAGGGAAATATAGGTAAATAGGGAAATATAGGGAAAGTACATGTAGGGAAATAGGGAAATATAGAGAAATGAAGATTATAGGGAAAGTAGGGAAATATAGGGAAAGTAGGGAAATATAGGGGAACAGGAAATATAGGGAAAATTAGGGAAACATAGGGAAAGTAGGGAAATATAGGAACAGTAAAATCTTTGCATAACAATAGTGTTCCAGGATATGCAGTTGTAAGTAAGTAAGTAGGTATTGACATCTAGAGTATTGTAAAGGCAATATGTTTTTATTTTAACTCCAATATTTAAATCCTAAGTATGTGTTTCTAATACAAAAAGTTTGGAAGAAAGAAAAAGTAATGGTATGTAAAAAAACATACTTTCAAAGAATTCAATAAACAATATTTCTAGTATGATATTTGTAAATACAAATACTTGAAAATTCCCTTAAAAGAATTTGCATGCAAATATTGGGGAAAAACACAAACTACTGAAAATGTTTTACCATTAAATGATTTTTCTTTTTTGTTCCTTTTCTTTCTTTAATTGTCTTAATGTTTTATATAAATGGTTAGGTGAGCTAAAAACACTTTTATCACAAAATAGATCTAATGTACTGCTATAATGACAGAGGGATAGTTTATCTTAATTAAATCTACACAGAAGTGTATATCTACATTATTAGTATAAAAGTTCAAAGATCCAGTTATCCAAAGGTCATAACCTTTTGTTACAAAACAAAGACATAAACATTTTCTAGAATGAGCAATTTTGGCCTGCTGACAGAGACACTTGGGGCTATGTGCGTGGCTCCCCTTCTTGATCCGCACTTGTATACACTATGTCTATTTTTAACTTGCAAACCGTATGTCAAAATATTTTTGCATATTATTACGACTTGGTCACATGTCTTGAACATAAAACTTGTTTTCCGCTTCATCGCGATTATGCTCTATGAAGAGTGAGGCGATTACTGAAGATGATGATGATGAATTTGACAATGTTTAAAAAAGTCTCTCAAATATCAACTTTTTTAAAACGTTATGAAATTCTATTCAAAGTTGTTCACGTGTTAGACACTTAACCGTCTCATACTAATATAGGCAATAATTTAAAACTAATTCTTGCAATAAATAATACTTTTAGTTTTTAATATTCAGGGGGGGGGGAGAAGGGGCGGGGTCTATACTCCAAGTGTCTGTCACAGATTCTACCCATGCAACCAGTACAGACTAAATGCCGTCTGCTCATGATCTACACTATGATTGCTGTTCAGTCTGATTTTTTTTCCCTGGAAATGATGAATGGTTTTGTCTAGAATTAAATAATGACAGGTCCATTTAAGATACTCAGGATACAGGGTTAACATATTGGTAATTATTAAAGTACTTGACCCTTCACCTCCTGGAACCTTAAGTTATTGAGCCTAAAATTTCCTCCATTATTCAGAGCCAGAAGCAGATATATACAGGAAATATACGGCCAAGTGGTTCAGTTTGTTGACTTGAACCCATAGATTGCACCTCATCTCTGTGACTACACTACACTCACATAATATTATGTGACTAGAGTCCACTTACATACATGACTAGAGTCCACTCAAGAAATTTTAAGACATTCTTTTATAAAAGCGTCAAAGGTTTTTTTATGCTATTATGTCAGTATATTGACCTCTATCATACTATTAAATATCAGAAAAGTTTAAATCATGTGTTTGAAAATGCCTTGAATAATGATTAACACCTTATAAAACAAAGTCACATAGTTTCATGTTTCTGGTTTTTAAATTTTTAAATCATTGAGAAATTTGTCAGTTACAACAATTTGAATATAGTGTAAACAATTGAGAATTTTTTTTTGCCTTTGTGAATGAAGCTCTATATCGGCCTGTCCAGACACGAATTATATTGGCCTGCAAAAAATAGATTCAAGTCAAGAATTATATTGGCCTGCATGAAATAGAGTCAAGTCACAAATTTTAATGGCCTGCATGAAATAGAATCCAGTCATGAATTATATTGGCTTGCATGAAATAGAATCCAGTCATGAATTATATTGGCTTGCATGAAATAGAATCCAGTCACATATTATGTTGGCCTGCATGAAATAGAATCCAGTCACAAATTATGTTGGCCTGCATGAAATAGAATCCAGTCATGAATTATATTGACTTGCATGAAATAGAATCCAGTCACATATTATATTGGCTTGCATGAAATAGAATACAGTCATATATTATATTGGCCTGCATGAAATAGAATCCAGTCACAAATTATATTGGCCTGCATGAAATAGAATCCAGTCATGAATTATATTGGCCTGCATGAAATGGAATCCAGTCATGAGTAATATTGACCTGCATGAAAAAGAATCCAGTCATGAATTATATTGGCTTGCATGAAATAGAATCCAGTCATGAATTATATTGGCCTGCATGAAATGGAATCCAGTCATGAGTAATATTGACCTGCATGAAAAAAGAATCCAGTCATGAATTATATTGGCTTGCATGAAATAGAATCCAGTCACATATTATGTTGACCTGCATGAAATTGAATCCAGTCATGAATTATATTGGCCTGCATGAAATAGAATCCAGTCATGAATCATATTGGCTTGCATGAAATAGAATCCAGTCACAAATTATGTTGGTTTGCATGAAATAGAATCCAGTCATGAATTATATTGGCCTGCATGAAATAGAATCCAGTCATGAATAATATTGGCTTGCATGAAATAGAATCAAGTCACAAATTATATTGGCCTGCATGAAATAGAATCCAGTCATGAATCATATTGGCTTGCATGAAATAGAATCCAGTCATATATTATATTGGCCTGCATGAAATAGAATCCAGTCACATATTATGTTGGCCTGCATGAAATAGAATCCAGTCACAAATTATATTGGCCTGCATAAAATAGAATCCAGTTATGAATTATATTGGCTTGCATGAAATAGAATCTAGTCATGAATTATATTGGCTTGCATGAAATAGAATCCAGTCACATATTATGTTGGCCTGCATAAAATAGAATCCAGTTACAAATTATGTTGGCCTGCATGAAATAGAATCCAGTCATGAATTATATTGGCTTGCATGAAATAGAATCCAGTCACGAATTACATTGTATATTGGCTTGCATGAAATAGAATCCAGTCACATATTATGTTGGCCTGCATGAAATAGAATCCAGTCATGAATTATATTGGCTTGCATGAAATAGAATCCAGTCACGAATTACATTGGCCTGCATGAAATACAATCCAGTCATGAATTATATTGGCTTGCATGAAATAGAATCCAGTCACAAATTACATTGGCCTGCATGAAATAGAGTCCAGTCACGAATAATGATGCATCTGATGCTCTTAAAGCAATAAACAAACAAATTCCTTAGAAATTTTTTTATTTGCTTTTTTATGCCAATCTTACAAACATAATATTTGGTTATATCTTGGAGGTTTATGTACATAACCAGCTTTACTGGATAACTAACCAGTAATTACTCACTTCTACGCAATTAAAGTACTGACTACCAGTCCTACATGATTTTTTAAAATCAGTGTTTAGAAACAAAATAAGCAATGACCATATTTTAATGTCTGTGATCATTTTGTCATAGAGAAATTACGCCTCGCCTGAGAATTAAACTAGTTTTGCCTGGATTACAAAAACGGTAGAATGCTCTTCCAATTGTGCTGAGCAGGCTGGCTTCCTAGAAGTGATGGAATATAAATATACATGTGCAATAATATTACCTCTCACTTCTTTTGTAATGTCAATTTCCCATAGGCCCACTGGGAGTTATTCTAATTGTTAAAGCAAGTGTTCCATGTGACAAAGAAATTTGTTTTGTCACAGGGTAATGTTAACAGTACTTTTTAACAGTATAAAAATCTGGTCACATGTGTTGTTTTCAACTTGTAAGGTATTAGGATAGTTGAGTTGTTGTTACTTTTTGTTACAGTTAGATTTAGTTGAAATTTTCAAATGATTTGTTCAGAGTAAAAAAATAACTGACACATGGGTTTGTGGGTACATAAAAAATATCACCCCTAAGAAAATACTGTTACCCTAGGCATGAGGTGAGGGTAAGAGAAAATACTGTTAACCAAGGTGTTAGGTGCCGGTAACATTTTCACGATTGATGATATTTTACTCGCCTAACACCTCAGATAATAGTATTTTCATCGTGATGATATTTTCACTACCCACAAACCCATGTGTTATTTATAATACTGCACCTTGTCTGCTCTATTTCCAACTTATCAGTCAGTGTTCAAATATTAAACTTTGCTGATTACATAATTTTTTTGCCAATGAAATTCACGCAAACTTTACGGAGAATTAATCCAAAATTTCACAACATCAACAATGTCACTTTCTTCTCCACTTCTAATCTCTGTATATACTTTTATCTTAAGTACATAGTTTCATAAACTTAGCTCATGTTGCATACATTAGATCAATGACATTTTAAATCCTCATTTTGACGTCAAGGGCCACGACTCCTTTATTTCATTGTAACAATATTATCTAGACAGCAATTGTATCAACACATTATAGCCAAGCATGAAAAATGTAGCTTTTACAAATTCTTTATCTGTCCCAATGCTTCCACCTATTTTTTTATATCTTATCCTATTAAATTGTCACAACCTAGCCTGATTGTATAAAATTAAAAGCTTCTTTTTAAAGCAGCATGCCTGGAGATTCATGCTAATTTTCAAGAAAATTTTGAAAATGTATTTAAAGATAAGTTGACAAAGTAAAGGTCTCTTCATATATTCCTTAGAGTGAGGCTTAATAAAAGGTGTTGGAGCGCCACACTAAATACTGTATTCTTGTATTATGCCAGACAAATGGCGTTAATTATTAAAATATGCTAAAATCTCGCCTTTTTGCTGATCGCTGCAATGCACATAATTTATGAGCCGCGCCATGACAATACCAACGTAATGCGTTTGCAACTAGCATGGATCCAGACAAGCCTGCGCATCCGCGCAGTCTGATCAGGATCCATGCTATTCGCTATCAGTTTCTCTACTTGAAATAGGGTTTGTAAGCGAACAGCATGATCCTGATCAGACTGCGTGGATGCGCAGGCTGGTCTGGATCCATGCTGGTTGCAAACCCATTACGTTGGTTTTGTCGTGACGCGGCTTATATAGATTTATTAAACATTCTGTTCACACTGATTGACATAAGATATTAAGTGAAAAATGTTAGAATTGCTGAAAAGAAAAAAAGCGATATTTTTCTACTTTGTGATCATGATTTCTGCAAGCGTTTAGAAGCTTCAACAATGTAGCGAGTTAAAATCCAATTCTTTATCTAACCAATGCTAACTATCTTTTTTTATCTATATCCTATTAAATTGTCACAACCTAGTTTGATTGTAGAAAAATAGATGCTTTTTAAAGCAGCATGCCTCCAGATTTATGCTTATTTTCAAGAAAATTTTGAAAATGTATTGAAATATAAGATATTATGAAGTTAACAAAGAAAGTAAATTTACAAATTGCAATCAGCACTTACAATCCACCCGAATTATGAAAAATATAAATAAATAGCACTTACTGTGTAATAGTGGCATGCAGTAGAAATATGGTGATAAACACTGCAAACACTTTAATTGCACGTAAAATGTAATTTATTACTTGAATCTTTTTACCTTTTCTTAATATGATAGTAATTTGTTCTTAAGTTTGTTTTTCTTGAAATGTTTTTCTTAAAATAATAAGTAGATTAATAAATATATTAGACTAAAAAAAAATACTATTATTACAATCAAAATTTAGAAATTTAATTTTAAATAATATTGGTAGAGCCTCCAATATATAATAACAATTTTTCAAGAAATTATGACATAGGTCATTTAGCATACTAGCAACAAATTCATAATACTTCTCAACAGTCTATTTCACTTCCTGAAAGCAGACTGTATTAACTGGAAGCATTTAATTTATTGTTTGAAAAAGGCATACAAATGTTTTGTATAATGTGTGAGACAATGTCGTGTCGTGTGAAAAAATAAAGTAACAGATACATGTAGGTTAAGCCAGCCCATATGTACTTCAGTACTTTGATTTTAGTAGCATTTCACTTAATTGAAATAGTTCATATAAATGATGAGGCATATAATAAGTGTTGTTTTTGATTTATTATGCATCCATGAATTTCATCAAAATTACTGCCTCAGATCCAATAAAGAGTATAACAAACTTACCTGTTTAAATATCTATAGAAACGACCTTGACACCTCAGTTTATTTCATATGCATTATTTCATGCAAAAAGATCACTTCTTTTGTCTATTTTATTTGAAATAATCCTTGTTATAAAAAAAAAGAAAAAAAAAGAGAAATCATCACCATACAACTGGCATTCAAACAGTAATTATATATTTCTTTATACATACATAGATACGACCATGACCTTTATAGGTTAAAATGTGATTACTCATTTGCATGAAAACAGCAGCTGTTGTGGCATATTGATTACTAATGTGTGTTGTAAGTCCACCATCAACCTCTAACAATAACATATATAGTGTAAATTCAAAAGAATTATTCGATTTCTCCAACCTTGATAAATTTTAAAGAAAAATAAAAGAAAAAAAAAATAGCACAAAGAAAGTTTTTTATTTATTATACAAAGTAATTTTAGAAATTTAGATTAACTTATATAATGAGTAACACCATTTTATTTGCTGAATTTCTCAACCCTTAGCATTATTATGATAAATGGACTTTCCCATGTTTTTCAATCTGGACCAAACATTCACAGAATTTAGGGAATATTTCAAAATGTGTACTGACAGAGTCAGCTGGTACTCGTGTGCCATCTTGATGTTTACTGATTCCAAGGATCAATTTAGATGCAACTATAGCAAACTAAAGGTTAATTAAATTAAATTAAACATCTTCCATTTTTGGAACCATGTACCATCAATTTTAGGGATAAGATATGAAGATGATATCAAGAATGATGTTATGAAGACAATAATCAAAACAATATGAAGACAATAATCAAGACAATATTAAGACAATTATAAATTAAGCTTCCAGCAAGTTATCTTGTTTCCACAACATAATCAGTAAATCTCAGAAGAATTTTATTATAAAATATCTGTGTCATGTAACAAATATGATTATTATATGTAAACAGAAGAATAAGATGTTCCGGAACAAAATATTATGCTCCTATTTTAAGTATGGTTTTATTGTTTAAACAATAACTTTGAGCATGCGCCATTCACTTTGAGGGAAATATACAAACATATATCTTTTATAAAGGAATTTTGGAAATTTTCCTTTCTTAAAAACTCAAACTAACAAGAAGTCAGCAGATAATTATATAGTGTAACACAGTATAAGGTGTTTACCTCTCAACCTAGTGACTGTGAGTTTAAGCCCATCTTGGGTCAAAACCTAGTAACTGTGAGTTTAAGCCCATCTTGGGTCAAAACCTAGTAACTGTGAGTTTAAGCCAATCTCGGGTCATAACTTTAAGTAACTGACTGAGTTAAAGCCCATCTCAGGTCTCAACCTAGTGACTGTGAGTTTAAGCCCATCTCAGGTCACAACCAAGAAACTGTGAGTTTAAGCCATTCTCGGATCAAAACCTAGTAACTGACTGAGTTTAAGCCCATCTCAGGTCACAACCTAGTGACTGTAAGTTTAAGCTCATCTGGGGTCAGAACCTAGTGACTGAGTTTAAGCCCATCTGGGTCACAACCTAGTGACTGTAAGTTTAAGCCCATCTAGGGTCACAAGCTAGTGACTGTGAGTTTAAGCACATCTCAGGTCAAACCCTTGTGACTGTAAGTTTAAGCCCATCTTGGGTCATAACATAGCAACTGTAAGTTTAAGCCCATCTCAGGTCACAACCTAGTAACTGTGAGTTTAAGCCCATCTTGGGTAAGAACATAGTGACTGTGAGATTAAGCCCATCTCAGGTCAAACCCTTGTGACTGTAAGTTTAAGCCCATCTTGGGTAAGAACATAGTAACTGTGAGTTTAAGCCCATCTTGGGTCACAACCTAGTAACTGTGAGTTTAAGCCCATCTAGGGTCACAACCTAGTGACTGTGAGTTTAAGCCCATCTTAGGTCAGAACCTAGTGACTGTGAGTTTAAGCCCATCTCAGGTCAGAACCGTGTTTCCTCATATGACACCTGAGTACTGTTAGGCTCCAGGAAGCTCAGACTCAAAATAAGATTCAAGCTCATTTATCACAAATAAGCTAAATTGAATATGTTTAAACTTTTGAACTGAAATGCTGGTGGCAAATGCTTAAATTGCAGTCGGCATGTTTGGTGACATGTGTGAGAGGTAATATATGTGTGTTAACAACTGGTTAATGCCTGACATTAACTTAAATTACAGGACACAATTACTGACATGGCTGGGAGTTTAGTTTTAATGGGGACGGATGATGTGGAAAGTTATAATATCTTTAAAATATAACCTAGAATCTTTTACGTAATCTCCCAGGGTATTTCTTAGTAAATGGCCTTTATATGAATCTTTATATGACTGTCTTGTACGTGTTGGAAAATACATGAAAATCCTTACATGTTGTACATAATGTGTAGTAAATACATGAAAATCCTTACGTGTTGTACATAATGTGTAGTAATTACATGAAAATCCTTACGTGTTGTACATAATGTGTAGTAAATACATGAAAATCCTTACGTGTTGTACATAATGTGTAGTAAATACATGAAAATCCTTACGTGTTGTACATAATGTGTAGTAATTACATGAAAATCCTTACATGTTGTACATAATGTGTAGTAAATACATGAAAATCCTTACGTGTTGTACATAATGTGTAGTAAATACATGAAAATCCTTACATGTTGTACATAATGTGTAGTAATTACATGAAAATCTTTAAGTGTTGTACATAATGTGTAGTAATTACATGAAAATCTTTAAGTGTTGTACATAATGTGTAGTAGTTACACTAAAATCCTTACATGCTGTACATAATGTGTAGTAATTACATGAAAATCCTTATGTGTCGTACATAATGTGTAGTAAATACATGAAAATCCTTACATGTTGTACATAATGTGTACATAATGTGTAGTAAATACATGAAAATCCTTACATGTTGTACATAATGTGTACATAATGTGTAGTAGTTACACTAAAATCCTTACATGTTGTACATAATGTGTAGTAAATACGTGAAAATCCTTACGTGTTGTACTTAATGTATAGTAAATACATGAAAAGACAATAACGATAGCTACAAAGACGATAATAACTTCCATTTTGAATATAAAAATTTATAATTGTAAGTGATTGTTACATTTGTGCTACGCTAACTCAGAGAAATCAATAAAGATCAAAGTTTGATATTATTGATATATTGATGAATCAGATTATCGACTTCACGATACACTGTATCATGTCACGTGATATGTTGAGGTATCCATACCTGGCGATACAATTGTTTTTATTGTCTCAGGTTTATATATGAGCAGCGCAATGACATAACCAACATAATGGGTTTGCCACCAGCATGGATCCAAACCAGCCTGCCCATCCGCCCTGGACAAGATTTCTGAACACACGCACCTACTAACAAAGGCATTGGCAAGGGCATTAAAACCATTTGCCCCATTTCCATTATCATGGCAGGGGCATTAAAACCATATGCCCCTTTTCCATTATCATGGCAGGGGCATAAAAACCATATGCCACATTTCCATTATCATGGTAGAGGCATAAAAACCATATGCCACATTTCCATTTTCATAGCAGGGGCATTAAAAAAACAAAAAAAGCATATTATAATAGCAGTTCTCTATGTGCAATTCTTCAAGTCAGTGATGGTAGCGAAATTTCAGACTCTGATGCTGTTAATTGCAAATGCCGAAAGTAGTCCGCTTTTTTGAAGCGGTTACTTCCCTTTATATGTACACTAACGCCGAAAAATTCAGGGGAGATCACTGTGTAAAGATGGTCAAATGACAGGCGCATTAATTTTCAAGCAAAATAGCTCCCGAATGGTCGAAGATTTTAATATTGTTTTATTCTTTATAGATATACATGCTTATAGTAAGCTCCATGATTATTTACATCTGTGTGTTAAACAACAATTAGCATCTAACTTCACCGTGGCCGAGGGGTTTGCGCGCTCGCTTAGAAAGCGAGAGGTCTGCAGTTCAAATCCCAGTTAAGGCAACTTTTTTGCACATTGTTTTAATTTAAATAAACATTGAATTGAATATCAGTGTTGCAATTAGTCTTATAGCCAATTTACTACAGTTAAAACACTGGAAAACATTGGTGGCACTTTACTAAAACAAATTGGTTTATAATCTCACAACCTTCACCTTTCTGACATTCTGAGACCCAAACAAATTCAGCGCCTTCTGTGCTTTGATTTTATTTATAGTATTCAATCACCATTTCCTAATTGTTGTGCCTAAGAATTCTGATTTATTTGAATAAACAGTGACAATTTAAAATATGAAAAAGTACTTCATAAACTTTAAAGTATGAATAAGTACATGAAGTAATGATATGATAAAAAATATAATCAGATTGAAAATCAACATTGAATTTCGGTGGGATTTTTTGCCTAAGTGATATTAGTTAAAAGCAATGAAATGAAGAACTATTACAATGACTAACCAAGTAATGGGTTGACTTCTTTTAGGGTAATTGGCGTGGGTTGTAAGGGTCATTTGCATTGTGTAAAGTACTTTATTTTGTCATCTCACAATATATTACCTGTAAGTTCATTTTCAAGTTTTTTTTTATGAAATTAGCATGAAATTCTGGAGGCATATTGGCTTTAAATTAATTAAACACTCACCTCTATAAAAAACAACAACAACAACAACACTGTTTCTGGTCAGGTCTGGTGTTGAGAGATGTATTACTGGACACAGCTGGTGGTCAGTTTGTATGATGTCATGACTGTCTGCCACAGTGTAAGGATATATGTCATGTTTGTGACAATTTGATCTGCCATTGTATACTTAGAAACAGCTGGAAAGAAAAAAAAACCAGTCTAAAAAAAACACAAATAAATATAAGAGTGTTATCTTTATAAACCAGTCTATTTACAATCATTATAAACCAGTCTATTTACAATCTTTATTAACCAGTCTATTTACAATCTTTATAAACCAGTCTATTTACAATCTTTATAAACCAGTCTATTTACAATCTTTATAAACCAGTCTATTTACAATGATAGTTATACATTACATGTGAACTCTCCCACTTTTAGCGGGAGACTCACACTTTGAACAGCAGCCATATTATCAAAGATTT